GTCCATGATACATGGAGTGCATCATGTTGGGGAAGATGTGGTAGGCCACATCTCACAAACTGAGCTGATGTGGGAGTGTTGACATGCGAGCATAAGCATGTGGAAAAGTAAATACATCTCAAAGTGATTTACAATAAGAACAAATACAATAAAACCAGTAGCTGGAAGTAATAAAGCCATAGAAACAAGTTAAAATACATTGAAACCATTTCATTGAAAACAAGGAACTTGTAGTCCTGACAATGAGGCAAGTACCTGAATAAACTGGTGAGAAACATTTAATACGGGGACTTGGATTTATCTTCCCGTGAAATCCATTCCATAGGGTGGACACCACAACACAGAAGGGCCCCCCATCTGCATTCCCATGATATCTGACCCCAGATTCCCTAATGACCCATGTTCAAAAGCATTGGGAACAAGATTGGGCCCAGAGAACTGGCCCCTTGCTCAGGAGCAGAGACGGAAAAGCTTTAGTGCCTCTCTAGAAGTGCCCCTGCAATGTTGCCATGTCATGAGACTCAAACTCATAAGAAGATACTATCCAAAGCTGCACCTTGGCTGCTAAATCTCTCCTTCACTTTTCTGCCATCTCATTTACCTCTTTGAAAAGTCCAGCACATCTGCATGAAAGGTAACGAAAAGAAATGCTGTCTCCTTAGGCATTGCCAAGACTTGCTTCTGAATAGGCTAATTACTCTTGGTAGCTTGGCAACTGCTATGCCCTGTTGCTTTGATATTGACATTATGGCAGTGACTTGTTTTATAGTTATTTCTTTCCTTCCTTTGTTTCTCATTTACCTCTTTGAAAAGTCCAGCACATCTGCATGAAAGGTAACGAAAAGAAATGCTGTCTCCTTAGGCATTGCCAAGACTTGCTTCTGAATAGGCTAATTACTCTTGGTAGCTTGGCAACTGCTATGCCCTGTTGCTTTGATATTGACATTATGGCAGTGACTTGTTTTATAGTTATTTCTTTCCTTCCTTTGTTCTGCTGACTTTTGGTTTGGTTTGCTTTTTTTTTCCTGAACCAACATGTCTTGGTATAAGCAGACTTTTGAAGCTCTGAAAACCATTGGTGGGAATATACGCATTGCTTTTCCAACTGGCCACCAGTGGTTTTCATACCTTGATATAAGAAAAAAGAATTAAAGCCAATTGTTTCAAATGGTCTGGGCCAACCCTGCTTAAGCTTCTTGTCAGGTTAGCTCAGCTAATGCAAGAACCTCCCCTAAGAGTCCTACAAAATGTCATAGACCTTCAGGTGAAAAATCAAAAGCCTGTTAATCACAAGTATTAATCCCAATAAAGCAAAGGTTCTAAACCTTGGGTTCCCAGATGTTCCTGGACTAAAACTCCCAGAAAACTTTGCCACTAGCTGTGCTGACCAGGATTTCTGGGAGTTGTAGTCTAAGAACACCTGGGGACCCACTGCAATAAAGGGTTAATTTGAGAGTGAAACAAAACAATTATAGACAATCACATCAAAATTGACAGAGTTGCAGTATACCAGGTGTGCCAGGTGACACTAACAAGTAGAGTGTCCCCAGATTTATGAAGTTACCAGGCGAGGAAACAGTATTGATAGCAGAAATAATTGTATTGAATCAAGTACACTGCAGGATATATACATACAGCTTTGCCCTTGTTTCAGTCCAGTGGTCAAACATGGCAATTCCAATAGGCATAAAATAGATCAGAGTCCTTATAAATCAGTTCAGCAGTCAGAATCCTTCTCCAAGATTCTTCCACGACAACCACAACACCGCAGAGTGTGTGTGCTGGGTCTGCTTGCTTTATCCCAGGGTTAGCCAATCCTAGGTTTTCTTTCTCAGCTGATACAAGTCATGTATTACCCCAGCTGCATAAATTCTTACTTGGCTTATTTTCTTAGCGTGGATCCTTACAATTTTGCTCTTTTACAACTGCTTAGTACAAAACTGTATTAACAGTTCCTCCAGGTTTATGTCCAACCTGTCAAAAATTCATCTATCAAATTCAAGGCAATATCAACTTGTCTGTTTCCACAAGCCTTATGTATATACTGTATATTGCTTCTATGTTCGATGTGCATAAAATCCTGCCCCTGTGAAGAAAACTGTAGGCACAAATACTTTTCAAAATCCTTCTTGTAAGTTATGAAAAATCACAAGTGTAATTTTTATCGAAACAGTCTTACAACTACAAGAAGTGGCAAGTATACATATACAAAATGTAAGTTGTAGACCGAATAAAAATCATGTTTTAATCCAAAAATAAAAGAGCTTAATAGCCTAAAAAGGCACATTGAAACAGCAAAAAATATTTCTCCAAAGCACATCATTTGAAAATAAAAGGCATTATAACTTTAAGTAATTTTAGCCTTAAAAAATGCAAAATATGTTAAAAGTTAAGTTGTATAAAATAACTTTCTTAGCCTTTAACCATATAACTAGACACACACAGAGACAGCTTTTAAATGTTCCCCCCTCTGCCAGTTAAAATATATGGAGGAAAATCCACAACTCTTTTGTCTTTTCTCTGTGCTGCTTCAAAACCTGTGTTTTGGCTACTTCTTGCTGCCCTAAGATATACCTACCTGCTGTTTTTGCTAGTCTAGCACTAACGTGGTAGTTTTAAAAACCTATGTCTCATGGATTTATGTTTTCCAAAAGATGATGCTAAAAGGTTATAAAATATCCATTTTTTAAATTCGTTCGTAACTTTGTTTACTTGCTAAACTGGCAGGTTTGAATGAAATTCCTTTGCAATGTTTATGTACAGTGTAACCTTGTTCCTAGATTCTGCTGGAAAACAGGGTGATTATAATCACAGTGCCTGGTCAGGATGCAGTTTAAAAGAACTTTAATTATCAGGGCAATGTTTCCACACACCCTTTAATCATTTTTAACACCTTATAAGCACAACATTTCAGATGTTGACACTATATAGCTCAGCTGTGTTCTGTGTTTTATTTTAAGAATTTCTAGACCACACTTTCATCAGCAAGGATCTCTGGGTAGTGTACACATGGGTGTAAAAAGAATGCAATATAACAACAAAGATGAAATGACAGAAGGCATGCAAAGTATACAGTGAGCAAGCAAAAGCCCTAAAAATAAAGCTGATAAATTAATGTTTAAATTTGTGTTGGTATTTTGTAGAGATGAGCACACACTTTAGCCTTCCAGATGTTTGTGGGTGTTTTTTTTTTTAAAACAACTCGTATTAGTCCTAGCCACTGTAGCATTCTGGAAGTTGTAGGTAAAAAAATATGTGGAGAGCCACAGTTGGGTACCTCTCTGTGTTGAATGCTAAATGGACCAAGCTGAGAGGCAGCCATTTCTCTCACTATATCCACTCAGATTTCAGATGTGCATGCTCAGTTTAGGGCTCCCATCCACGCTCAAGTCATGAATAGTAGGTGGCTTATTTTGGAGTGAACTGGCCTTCAGCACCAGGATGCAACTTGACATGGAAGATCAAAATTATCTGATTAAGGGAAGGATCAGAAGAGTGGACAGCTCTCAGATGTCCTATCACTCTTTCTCTCCACCAGATTAACCAGTCCTCACCACCAAACATCTTCCTACTTGCCCAGATAGCAATGTCCTCCATTCACTAATTTCCCTGCCCAAGTACATAGTAAACAACAGTGCTGGTTAAACAAAGGGCAATCAGGGAAAGACAGAACTGCAGTTCTTCCTAAAGCTGTGTAACAATAAAGTTATGACAGTTATAAAACACCAAAGTAATAAAGTGCTAAGTCCTGTAGCACCAGAATAGCATGGCAATAAAGTGCTGAGGCAATGAAGTGCTAAGGCAACATACCGTACTATGAAGCAGTAAGGAGAACAGGCAATAAATGCTTAATGTTTAAACAAGAAAATGCAGATCTTGGAGCATAAATGAAAGATACTAGCTGTAGAATAACAGAAGCTGTGGCAAACAACAACAACAACAAACAATAACAACAACAACAACAATGATGGTGATGGTGATGGTGATGGTGGAGGAATACTTAAACATTATAGCAGCTACTCAGCAAAAATCAGCCAAAAAAGCTGTTTTTAAAAGGCCTTCCCACTATCTTTTGCAATCTCTAACCCATTACAGTTCCCATCAGTATATAGCACATAGTCACTCTGAAGTTATCTATCCAGGCTTTATTAAAATATAGTGACCTACTTATATGCTGCCCCATGGTGCTTAAAGCACTCTCTAGGTGGTTTACAATTGAATTACTGTGTTTCCCTGAAAATAAGACAGGGTCTTATATTAATTTTTGCTCCAAAAAACACATTAGGACTTATTTTCAGGGGATTTTTTATTTTATAGTCATGTCATCTTCTTCTGGTTCCTGCACAATGGTGGAGGGTGGGATTTCACTTAACTGGGGCTTATTTTGGGGGTAGGGCTTATATTACGAGCATCCTGAAAAACCATACTAGGAGTTATTTTCAGGGTAGGTCTTATTTTCAGGGAAGCAGGGTATGCAAGCTACACATTGCTTCGCACCCGCCATTCCAAGCAAGTTCAATTTACCAACCTCAGAAGGATGAAAGTTGAATCAACCTTGAGCTGGCTACATGAGCCCAAGATCAAACTCAGGTTGTGAGCAGAGTCTTTACTGCAGCACTGTAGTTTAACCACTCTGCCATGAGGCACGTGCATCATTCATATTCCTCCTTTCGTCCAGAGAAGCCAAGGCAAGTTACCTGCTGTGATATAGGTTAAGGATTAGCCATGAGCTTCATAGTGAAATTAAGAATTAAACCTTGGGTTTGTCAGTCCTTGTCTAATTCTCTAACAAGTAAACCAACGTGCAATGACATTTTATTTAATTGTTTGCTTTTGAGATATATATATATATATATTACTCCTAAGTGTTTGGTGCACAATGGCAGATTAGATCACTCTTTCCAAACATGGTGAACTGTTGTACATCATATTTGCTCAGTACTCAGGAGTAAGTGCTAACCTTTTGTTCTATGTTAACATATTTGTGTTTCTTCCCACAGTGGCACTTGGTCAGATTGGGAATTTCCTAGCCTATACTGCAGTTCCTACTGTTCTGGTGACTCCGCTTGGCGCTCTTGGGGTTCCCTTTGGGTAAGGACTTCAGTTTCTGACTTCATATTTGTACTGTATATAGAAAGACTCTTTGAATATCAGCAGGAAGTGAACACCCGCAACAATGGAAGCTGTTGTTAAAAAAAAAGAAATAGACATTAAAGAAGCCATGGCTGTCCTTCTGATGTGGAAGACTACAGAGAGCTCCATGTGTGTGCATTGTTCTCTCTTTTTAAAAAGTCATTCTTTTATCTTGATAATATATATATATATTTATCCCATAGCCTATAGTAGTATCCATTTTATCGCCCATTTTTAATCTCATTGTTTGTTATTTATTATTGTGCTGTAAATTGCCCAGAATAGTGCACTAATGAGGTGGTATAAACAAACAAACAAACAAACAAACAAACAAACAAATAGTATTCTAGACAGAAGGTTACCATCTTTTCTTTGGGGTATTCACATCCTTAGCATATCCCATTTGCCTCTTTTTTCCCCCTCAAAGGTGTTGCATATAATGCTACTTTGCTTTCTCTTTCTTCCCGCATGATATATATTACCGGCAACTTCCCAAATATTTTTACTATTAAGCTTTTATCTTGCTTCTGCCCCAAACACGATTCCTTCCCTTAAAAGGAGTGCCTAATTCTCCATCTGAAAAGACATAAGACATAAGACATAAGAAATTTATTTGTCATTGCGCTCACAAGTCAAGTGCCCAATTCCTTCCCTTAAAAGTAGTGCCTAATTCTTCATCTGAAAAGAGCTAGAAGGAAGTAAGAAATTGTCTGAAAATCATCCACACTGTGACTTCCTCTTACATCTGTTCTTATACAATTCTTCCAAAGAGGGGAGTGAACAGCCAATGATGTTTTGGGCCGTCTTGATCACCCCTTGAATTGCCTAGAGCTAGAAGGAAGTAGAAAATTGTCTGAAAATCATCCACACTGTGACCAGAACTGCCTATGAACCAGTGGTCCAATCTTGCAAGGCATTATGATCCATCATAATAACCTATTACATTACTGAATTGTGCTGGTGTGTACTTGATAGAAGTTGGGCTCAAAACAAGATAAAAGTATATTGACTTGAAAATAGATCTTCTTCGTAGTCACACCTTGTGGTGTGCAGTGTGAGAGGTGGAGACTGTGATGAGTTTCAATTGCCTCTAAAAAACGTAAATGTTTAAACCAGCTGCCCCAGCTTATAATGGCTCCGATACTGGTCTGTTTTGTTGGTTCAATGAAAAATGTTTATTATGTTCACTTTATGCTTAAAATAGAAGCCAATATCTAACTGAAAGGAAAACGTGCATGCAAGAGAAATCACACAAGAGATTTCTTTGTTTTCTGGGCTCCCTGTTGTGTGCCCAGTCACACAAGCAGTCACGAGAACAGTTGAACAAGAGCTGGCATGTGGCAGCCAGCCAGGTGGAAGGCTCAGATTGCTTGTGTAATTGCACTTACTGCCACTGCATAAATGTGTAAGATTTCTGGCCACTATGTTGATTATGCCAATAATGTTTGTTATGCCAATAATCTATTGGTCTGTATCCTATTGAGTTTCTGGTGAGTGGAAAGTCTCACCAGTGTAGTAACAGGGGATACCATGGGCCAAGTATTGCTCTTGCGCAGGTGCAGATCACTATGAAGAAAGCCATCCTCCTCATGCCAACCGTAATACAAGCACCACAATCCCATGGTGAGACTTTTTGCTTAACAGAAACTTGGTGGGAGAGTGGCCATTATATTTATTTCAGTTGTGGTTTTATAGTACACTTTGTGGAAGCCACTCGGAGATCTCACTATAGTAAGGAGTATGCAAGTGTTGTAGGTATCCTGTTGTAGGCATGCAAGCATTGTAGAAAGTCCCTGACTTTTCATATCTGTACTGCTTTGTGTACCTTTTAAAAGTTTTTTAATTGCTCCGAGGAGCTGCTTCCCACAGCAACCCTCAAAAACAGAGCATGTATTCCTTCCCTGAGAGAGAGAATTAGAGGCGCACGTACAAAAATCAACAGAAATGTTGGATTTCTTCCATGGCATTTTAAAAGCAATGCATTCCTCTTTGGCACAGCCAAAATGTAAAATGAGACATGTTTTATCTCCTGGTTGGGCAGAATTGACAAGGATCTACTGCAAGTTTTATTTCCCTTATCAGTGAGCTGCCCTGCAAAATGTGAAATGTAGAAGCTTTTAAAATAACTGTCTCTGTAAAGTTTCTGGTCCTTAGCTGTGGAATACAAACTTTAACATATTACTTCATTCTCAGGGTTGATGTGAATACAAACAAAGTAATGATTGCACAGTAAATCTGTAGTTGCCACACATACTTTCTTGGTAATGAGCTCTCCTGTGAGACTTGTTTCTGAGGGAACATACGTAGGATTTCACTGCAAAAATGTTGTCCTAATTATAGATTATTGTCTTATCTACAAGTTTCCAAAATGAAATGACCCATGTGTGCTAATGTATTTATACATGTAGCTTTTATGTGGTTCTCAGAATTCTTTTGTCTCTTACTGTCTCTCGTTTTAATAAGACCTATGCCGTGTGTCTGTTTATGAAAGGATTCCTAACTAAGAAACAGCAGAATGTTATGTGTGTCTGTTTATGACTAATGGGTTAGAGATTCCTAACTAAGAAACAGCAGAATGTTAGTAAGATCCCTTCCTGTTGATGCTGATTTAGGTCAGCTCAGAAGTAAGTCCAATAAAACTTACTGCCAAGTTAGTAAGCAGCCTTAATCAGAGTAGAAGGGATGGTTGGATGCTGAAGGTCGTTATTCAGAACAGGAGATGACACTAAACTGCCTTCCAGATTCTTTCTGTGTTCTGAAATTCTCCAGAAGAATAGAATGCTAGGGTACCGTTCTGGCAGATAAAAGCAGTCTTAAATCCCCATGGATTTCAGTGAGTTAGTTGAGGGCCGGACCTCTCATAAGGCAGAATGAGGCAGTTGCCTCAGGCCACTCATTTAGGTTGTCATGAAAGAACAGCAAACTGTTAGGTTGTTTAACTAGTTGGTATTGTGTTTCTACTGCCAGCAGAGATACTTGTGACATTTTCTGTTTTATGTGCCAAAATAATTTGGCTGAGTGGATGGGAGGGCACAATTTGCTATTTTCTCTCAGGCTGTTAGGCGGGATGCTGGAGTCAACTATCAGTCTGGGGCAGCAAAAACAGCAACAAGTCTGGCTGCACCCAGGAGTATCAAATTTTGTTATCAGCTTTTGTGGAGTGGTACCCCATTTGAAGAACTGAGCTAGAGTCTGCATCAAATAAAACTGACCAGTCATTAAGTTGCCATAAGCCCATTTGTTTTTTTGTTTTGTTTTGTTTTGTAAGCTTTTGTGGAGTGTCCCCCATTTGAAGAACTGAGCTACAGTCTGTATCAAATAAAACTGACCAGTCTTTAAGTTGCCATAAGCCCATTTGTGTTTTTGCTGCAACTGCAATTATTGAGTTATGTATCTGGCTGTGGAGCCAAAGGTTGACTGCAATTATTGAGACTTGAGCTACTAGGTATCTGGCTGTGGAGCCAAAGGTTGGGAGTTCGATTTCCCCGCGGTGCCTCCTGGAGTATCTGCCAGCCTGGGTGGCCCAGAGTGCTCCCAGAAGAAGGGAGGGGTAAACCACTTCTGTGTATTCTCTACCTAGAAAACTCTGAAAAGGGTTGCCGTATGTCAGCATTGACTTAATGGTGCATGACGATGATTAAATAGTATGTAATTTTTGCTGGTGTATGTGTGTCTATCTTTCTGTTCCCCCTCCCACCACCATAGTCAAATATCTCCTTAGGTGGTATTGGTTGATTTATACATATGGTTTGAGTGAGGGCTGGTGGGGTTGTTCTGCTGATTGAGCTGTTTCAGTCAGCAGAACCAGGAGGGGCAACTTCCCCTCCTCTTGTGCACACTGGTACAACCTCAGAACCTCCTTGGGAGGAATGGATAATGCTCTTTGACACATTATGAAGCAGAAGGAAGGTGAAGGCGGACAGTCCTGCCATATTATCACGAGATTTAGGCCTTTTCCCCACCTAGTTCTTTCTTTTGAAGAACATAGATTTACTGTCTAAAGTCACAAGCTGTGAAAAGAACAATGGAGTCATTTCCAGCACTGACACACAATATTCACGAGATAAATCTGCATATCAAGATCCAGATGCCTTGTTAAATAATTCTTAGGGCCTGCAAGAAGTTATCACATGAATCCCAATCTTACTCGTGAAAAGCAGTGTGAGATGGGCCTTATAGGCTACTGGTGTTTTTAAAGCAGAAGCGAAACAGTTCTTTCCAGCATGTCCTGCACAATCATCGCTGAACTTCTATTAAGAAAATAAATTGTCCAAAGTTCTTAGATCTGAGCTTTTTTTTTTCAGCTTCCATGGTGGAACTGCCACTTCTTAGACACTGCTAAAAGGCCCATTCAGAAAATATTATATAAAATTTTCTTTAAAAACAACAACTCCATATTGCAGGAAAGACATACTGAAATTATGTTTTTGATTACCGTAAAGTACAGTAGGAAAGTATTCCATTGTCATCTTGCATTCTGACCTGCCAATATAAACAAACAAACAAACAAACCAAAACTACTGTTCTCCTCAAGAAGCGGCAAAGGATGACAAGTAGCCTTTTTCTTTAACATTAAAGGAATAGCTTTGAAATCCTGAATTAAAATGTTTTATGTGTCCTTCTTTCTGAAAGATCCATTTTAGCTTCCTATTTGCTGAAAGAAAAGCTCAACATTCTCGGCAAACTGGGCTGCCTGCTGAGCTGTGCTGGTTCCGTTGTTCTCATCATCCATTCGCCAAAGTCTGAAAGCGTCACCACCCAGGCTGAGCTTGAAGAAAAACTCACAAATCCAGGTACTTTGGGCTGATATTGTTGTTGTTGAGTATAAATAAGTCTTGGTATTTAGGGGGTTAGTTTTGCAGAATGAAGCCACACTGACCAGGCTGGTCCAATGGTCAAGCACATTTGAATCTCAGTACTTTGTTCCATGTCACAAAGTTACAGAAGTGATTGATCCAAAGGCATCACTTTGCTGAACTTGCGGCTATTACCAAATAATTTTGTATTGTGAGAGTACAGAATAAGTCTTTTCCAATGTGGTATCTTCACATTGAACTACAGCTGTTAAAGTCTTGATGGTGCCATGATGTTTTATTTTTTTTTTCTGAGTATGCGTGCACACACAGTAACATGGTAATGCCACTATTTGTAGCAGAAGCTGAAAAAATCGTAACAAAATAATAGACAGGATATGTAGCAATATGCAGTGGAGACAAAGTGTAGTTTAGAGAGACAGTTAAATGCTCTACAGCAGTGGTCCCCAACCTTTTTTAACACTGCAGACCGGTTGGGGAAGGCGGGGCACCCCCTGTGCTTGTGCGCATACATGAAGGTTGGGGCGCTCACGTGGGCACACATGCACTCTTGCATGTGCACGAAGAGGCTGTGCAGTGAGGGAGTGCATGCAGGGGGTGGTGGGAGATCTGTCTCCGTGGCCTGGTCTGGCCCAGGCTGTGGACTTGGGGTTGGGGACCCCTACAGGAGGGGCTCCCAACCTTTTCCTAACCATAGACTGGTTGGAGGTGGGGTCCATGCATGCCAGGGTATGGCACGCTTGTGCAAGGGCGTGGCATGCTCGCTCACAGGGGGGCTCATGGGGGAGCAGGAGATCCGTCGCTCCTGCCTAGGCAACGGAGCAGTGCTGGGTCGCGGACCCGGGTTTGGGGACCCCTGCTCTATAGAATTTTGGTATGAAGCATTTATATGAAAGCAACAGTCACCAAAATCTGATTGAGAAGAACCAGGCCTGCAAGAGCAACCACACAATATTTTTTTCCCCTTCTGGGCTGCCATCCATTGTGCGACCAAGCACATGATTGGGTACACAACCTTTTCTGTAATTGGATGGAATAGAAGAGTGCACATAAGAGCACATGTAGGCTCATAGGCTCACTTTTGTGACTGCCTACTTATAGTGTATGAATCCAACAGGAACCTGGTCAATTTATACCTTCCATAAAATGGTACAAGCATTTTATATAGCAACATGGCATGCAGCCTGTGAACTTCAAGGGAGTGACTCATTTCATTCAAGCAATCCTTCAGTTGTGGTTTACAGATGTGACTGTGTGCATGCACACTCGTCCCCTTGCAGATGGGCCTTAACTTCCAGGTTGAATCAAAATGGAGTTTTCCATGATGTGCACCCATAAACTGATGTGAGTGATCCCTTTGAACCAGTGTTTAAAATTCAATGCACACCTAAACAAATGGGTTTTCTCCACCCCATCCATCTTTCTCTGTGGTCTAAGAACCTGTTCCTGAGTAGAGGTGGACATGAATAAAAAAACCAGTGGTTTGTTATGGTTTGTGGCTATCCACGAACCGTAAACTGTCATGAATCTCCCAGAAAAATGAACTGGTTCACAGATTATGTTGCGGGTTTGTGCCTAAGGGGATTGCCTGCCTGTCCCCTTCCCACTGACCTCATCACCTCCCCCTCTAGTTCTGCCACTATCACCATCATCAAAGACAGTGGGCTGGCTTCCCTTCCAGGAGCTGGGCCCATTGCCTCTGTGCAATTGCCCACTGCACTGCCCAGCCTATACGTGGCTGCATGCATAGAAGTCGTAGGCCAGTTTCTCTTCCCACAACCAGCTCCTGCCTCTGCACATGCATCAGCTGGGTGGCGGGCACAGGCATTGGGCCTGGTTCCTGGAAGGGAAGCTGGCCCACTGTCTCTGACAATGGTGGCAGCAGCAGTAGCAGTGGTAGTACCAGATAGGGAGGCGACGAGGGTAGTGGGAAGGGAGTGGGCAGGCATCCGTTTTGCCAAAGCAAAATGAAGTGCCAAGGGGAAGAAAGTTTTGCAGTTTGTTATGCTTTGGCAAAACAGGTTCCCCAAACTGGGTCATGAACTGAACCACAAACCAACCCATATTTTTTTTCCTGGTTCATGGTTCGGTTCACGCCTATCTCTAGTCCTGAGTGTTTTACAGCAGTATGGAGGTTTTTGAAGACACACAGCTCCCTTTGTATTTTATCCCTGGATTGCAAATGTGAGCTACAGCTCACACCCCATGGCAACCTAGTTTTCTTCAAATAAGAAGGAAGTAAGCGCTGTGTTCAAAGGAAGGAGGGAGTATACAGGCACCGCCCTCAGTCATGACAGTCAAAAATAGAGTTCAGAAGATTATCTGAATATCATCCCTTAGAATTTGCTCTCAACATTGTACAAAATACATTGTTTTCTGAAGAAGAATACTGCATATATTATCATAACTTGTTTATGTAGTTCATTTATTGTGCTGTTATTTTCTTTCTCTTTTTTTCCAGTATTCGTGGGCTACCTCTGCGTTGTCCTCCTCATGCTGCTTCTACTTATCTTTTGGATTGCACCAGCTCATGGACCCACTAACATTATGGTTTACATAAGCATTTGCTCCTTGTTAGGAAGTTTCACAGTGCCGAGTACAAAAGGCATTGGACTGGCTGCTCAAGATATTTTTCACAATAACCCATCGAGTCAAAGGGCACTGTACCTCTGTTTGGTTCTGCTAGCAGTATTGGGATGTAGCATAATAATTCAGTTTAGGTACATCAACAAGGCGCTGGAATGTTTTGACTCCTCTGTGTTTGGTGCCATCTACTATGTAGTGTTCACTACTTTAGTCTTGCTGGCCTCAGCAATCCTGTTCAGAGAGTGGAGTAATGTTGGAGTGGTTGATTTCTTAGGGATGGCTTGCGGATTTACTACTGTATCTATTGGAATTGTTCTTATACAAGTCTTCAAGGAGTTCAGTTTCAGTATTGGAGATTTGAATAAGCCTAACATGAAGACTGATTAAGATCATAATATTGGAGGGGCCTGGATGACTCACAAAATAATAACAGCTTTCCATTTCTAGGCCACAGGAATGATAGAGCCTTTAATTTCTAAGCCCAGAGAACATCATCATCTTTCATTCCTTGCTGGAATCCTTGAAATGAATACCATTCTCAATCCAGTTTCTCTAGGACTACTGTTGTCAAACTTATCTAATGGTATCAAATGGTTAAATCTTAGAACTTTTACAGCTGATGGGTAAGAAATGCATCAATGAAGAGACTGGTGTGTTTCTTCCCTGAAAAGGCAATACATATAGTGAAGGGTTGAAGCATTCTGAACCATGAGAATGCAGTGACCTTTCAGAATGTCTACCTGAAACTTTTGAGTTGTGTGAATAAACTAAATTGGCTTCTCCTGTGATCTGTTGGGCAAGAACTAGGGATATTTAATTGTCCTTTGGAAACATGTAGACACCTAGCAAAAGGTTGGATTTGCCTCCTCAATGTCTCATTTGTTAAATACCAAAATCTATTGTTTTTGCAGCTTTATATGAGGATTCTAAAATCAATGTTTCAGAACCTGTACATAGATGAATTCCCACCCATCATTGATTATGTCTGCAATTTGTACTGATGAGGAGTTAATAGTTACATCCAAAAGAGCCATGTATTTATCTGTCAGTAATTTTCTCTCTCTCTGACCAGCTAAAAGTTGCTCATGGACCTTTGTGAATTTAGTTTATGCCTTTTGTTCACAATATGCATTTGAAGTGCATTAATACATTACATTAATCAGAAGCTTTTGAGTATCAACAAAAAAGAATGTGAGGCTTGTGTCAGATCATAACCACTTTTCTACCGTTTTTGTGGTAGATCATTTGTAAAGAGTTGGAAACTACTTCAGTGCCTTCTGTATTCTTAAAGAGATCGCTTTCATGAGGCTGTTCATTTCCTCTTAATGTTTCATTGGCCTCATGCTTACAATCATATAAAGTAGCCAGAAAGCCAAAATAGACTGTGGAGCCTGACTCTGTTACTGAGGGGACAGTGTGAGAACTTCTATGCACTTCCCATAGTGTGTGTGTGTTTTGAGGAGAACTGTTCTACTATTAATTGTTCATTCATCATGTTCCCTGTTTTTTTAAAAAAACAACGAATAGAAAAGTGTTCTTGACAGTTTTTGGGTTAGCTTTAGAAAATTGTCATTTCTCAGAGCAGCTGGATATTGTGAGGAACTGAATCTGTAAGAGGAGAGGAAAATGTTAATTTCAGTCAAGGGAAGGTGAGATAAGTGGGCTAAAGAATTCTTCAGTCATTCACAGGTTTGAGGGAATAATGCGATGCCTGGAAAATGTTGGTCACCTATTTAGGAAAACTAAATAAATTATTTAGCTCTTGCTACAGAATCTGTCACTATAGAGAAGAGACAAACTAACGCTAGTTTAGCATGCATTTTAAGTCTGTTCCATAAGATATTTTCATATCAGTTTCAAAGGAATATAAAATTAGCACATTGATCATACAAGTTTTTGCTAAGCAAAATATGTGCATCTTTGTAAGATTTCATCAATTTTAAAGTTAAAGCCAAGAAAACTTGAAGTTTAGTTTCTCTATAATTACTACGTAGGTAAGCTATGAATGAAATCATTTTCCATCTTCAAACTCATTAAAAACCTCTATTAAATATAACATTGTTTATACTTGGGGTGAATGTTAACCAACTGCAACATCCAGAATTACCAGTTTTCAAAATATATGCAAATCAGTGTTAAAGTTTCTGTTAATTTTTGCTGAAGATTGCAAAAAGGATGTGTTGTGGTTAAATTAATTTGTATAAAATATGAGTTACCCTATCTGTTTATATGCCCTGTTTCCCCAAAAATAAGACCTAACCTGAAAATAAGCCCTAGTATGATTTCTCAGGATGCTCGTAATACAAGCCCTAACCCAAAAATAAGCCCTAGTTAAGTGAAACCTCATCCTCCACCATTGTGTAGCAACCAGAAGATGACATGACTATAAAATAAAACATCTCCTGAAAATAAGCCCTAATACATTTTTGGAGCAAAAATTAATATGAGACCCTGTTTTATTTTCGGGAAAACATGGTATTAAGTGCAAGAGTGGGCAGAAATGATGTTTGAGGCATCTTCTTTGTTTCATCTTAGAACCTTACATTTCACGAAACTGGAGCAGGGTATAAAAGGCAAAAATACATAATTATTATAATGGTCTGCGATCAGAAATTTGATTGAGCATAATAAGTGAATAGAGAGCACAATTTTTTTTCACCAAAGTTCACCCATCTTCTTGCCCACTTTTTTGTTTGTTTGTTTTAACAATATACTTGGTAGTGGGGCAGAGATAGATTTGGTTGGTTATTGTTGTTTAAGTACAGTGGGGTCTTGACTTGAGAACCTAATCCGTATTGGAAGGTGGTTCTCAAGTCAAAAAGTCTGTAAATCAAGTCTCCATTGACCTACAGTGCATTGAAAACCGATTAATCCCGTAACAGGCCATTTTTGTTCCATTTTGGTTTTTTTCTGGTCTGTAAGTCAAATCTCAGTCTGCAAGTCAAACCTAAATTTTGCGGCCAGAGAAGTCTGTAACTCAAAAAGTCTGTAAGTCAAGCCGTCTGTAAGTCAAGGGTCCACTGTAATTGTGTATTAGAAAACACTCTATTGCAAATCAGCCAGATAACTTCAAGTAGATACCAATTTTTAAGTTGCCCCTTGATGATTGGAGCTAGCTGGATACCTCAGTGAGGACTCAATCACATGTAAGAAAAGAACCCCAGTTATACAGATTCTTTTCATACCACTGTCGTACCGATACATTTTTTCAGCGATCACATGGTGTATGTGTATGTATATATATATTGGCAGGAGTGTTCACATTGTTTTTAAAACTGCATCAGTTCATTTATTTCTATTTGAACCGATACAGCTAGCTGCACTGCTCTTAATTTTGTATTAATTCCTTTTCGCTACTGTTTCTTGGGGCAATCACCCCCCCCGTGTCTTTTTTTAAAAGAAAACAAAAGTAATATATCAACAAAGCAACAGAGAGGTCTGAGCCTCAAGAGGAGGAAGCAGGTTTTGAAAGATGTGCAAAGTATTGTGAAGAGCAGGGTTTTAAAAAAAAGACAGAGATGTTAATGCAACACTCCTTTCTTTACAATTCAAAACAGGAAATGTCTCTGCCTTGCCCTCTTTCACCCATAAGGGATGGGCAGCGGCGGGGGGGGGGCAGAGAGAGAAAGCTGTCTCCATTGAGCTCTCACCTTCTGAGCAGTATATTCATGGCCTCCCCTCCCCCACATCTTTCTTTTTCCCTTCAAACAATCTCAAGCAGGAAATGGTCCTTTCTTTTCTGCAAAGGTCTTCTTTCCCTACCCACAAGAGTGCTTTGGCACAATGTACTCCTTGTGTGTCTGTGTGTATGTGTGGTGGCTGCTCTGATGTATCAATATGCCTTTTAAAATAAAAACAAAATAGTAAAGGGTACAAGCACAGTGGCCATGAAGTGGCCACAGTACCCAGAAATCCAAACCCTTTGCAAAGGAAATAAATTGACAGCAAAAACGACACATGCTGAAACGATAAGAAATGAAGCAATTCATTATTGGTACAATTTAGAACTACCTTCCCGACGAGGGGGAAATAAGCCACTTGCCAGGACAAATGAATCAATGTTGGCTATGCGTCATGTGAAGAGAAAATTATGAAATTATATTAAAAAACAGCCAAATTGATATAGCTGGGGTTGTTTTGACAGGTGTGAGTTAGGTATCTGGCTGCAGAGCCAGAGGTTATGAGTTCAGTTCCCCTCTGTGCATTCCCCTCTATGCATCCAGCCTATGTGGCCTTGAGCAAGCTGCACATTCCAGGGATGACCCCAGAAGAAGGGAATAGTAAGCCTGAGTACTCTTTACGTAGAAAACTCTGAAAAATTTCACCATACGTTGGAATTGATTTGATGGCACACTATTATTATTATAATGATTATCTGTGCCTGAGAACATATACATCAAATGTATATACTGTACTGTCTTTCCTGGATTGGGCAAACATAGTTTTATCGCATGCACATGTGGAAGATAAAATGCAGTACATGTAGCTAGCTCAAACAAGATGATGGTCATAGTTATAAACTGTAACATGAGAAGGTGCACCTTAACTAAGGGGTCTGCAAATATTCCTAGTTAGCCCGTATTTTTACTCAAGTCCTTTGAACTATCTGGCGTACACAGAAGGCTTTAGAGAGAAGCATGGTTTTCTGTTATTTGCTTGCTAAGTATATGGGAAAGCTCAGAAACAGCATGAATCTCTCATGCAGCTTAAAAACTATTTCTTACCTGCTTTCAAAATGCTATGGGAATAAGGAAAGATCTGCTGTATCAGTTTTCTGTTCATTAGAGGGCAGGTGGCGCTTGATTGTGGCAAGCAGATTTATTGATGTCTGCTCTGTATCAGTATTTATTCAGTTAAGTTACTGATTTCATGGAGAAAGTATAGAAAGATTACTGTTACAGTATTTCTGGAGATAGTATTGCATTTTTAGCATTACGTGCTTGACATTTAACATTTGAAAGAAGAAAATGGATCTGAAATACATTGATCAGACTTGAAGTCATTCTGTTCCTATTATTTAATAATAAATAATTATGTGTTCTGAGATAAGTCTCATTGATAACAGTCTTCAACATCTGATAGCCTCCCTTTAGCTTTCCTTGACGTAGGTAGACATCAACATAGCTATGAGTGCTATCTTGTTCTAGAATTTATAGCAAACTATAGCTTACCATGTGCATTATTCTCTACAAAAAAAAATGCCTATCCTAGCATGCTTGTGCTTATGCACATATAAAAGTGTATATATAGCTGTTCTTTAGTTAGGCATCTAGATGATGGATGACTAATGTGTGTACTCTTGACGGCCGTTGGGGGAGGGAGCATCTTCCTGTTTTCCAAATAATGGCAGAGGAAGACATGTATATTTTATTTATTTATTTATTTATTTATTTCCATTTTTTTATACCACCCGATTAGTGAGAAGCACTACTCTGGGATGTTAACAACAAATCAAATGCAATAATATAAGAGTAAATAATAATAATAATAAAAAATACGAACAGAACAATAAATAAAACAGCATAATGCAAACCCACTAAGGGCAGCAGGAATCATATATGTACATATATGTATAGATCACCACCCAAACTCACCCCCTCTTGAGTTTGAGTGGCAGGCTCCTTAATAAAGATGGTGTCATCTGGAAGTAAGTCCTTGATACTTACAGAGTGTTTCTGCCCCAGCATAACTACATACAACTATATATATTATGTGTTTTTTATATATATGTTACATGTAAAAACAACAGAGAGATGCTCTTTTTTTATCACTTGAAAGCATTCCAAAAAATATATATTTCCCTTTTGCCAAATTTCAGTGTAGCATGATTTTTAAATTGATAGAGCTGCCAGATAAAATGACCCAGAGATCTAGCCATTGTGGTATAGGCCAGTGGCCTCCAACCTTGGGCCTCCAGATGTTCTTGGACTTCAACACCCAGAAATCCTGGCCAGCAGAGGTGGTGGGGAAGAATTCTGGGAGTTGTAGTTCAACAACATCTGGAGGCCCAACATTGAGGACCACTGGTATAGGCAATGGTGTGAGCTGAATCACGTGAGGCTCATTTTGGTACTCTTACCTCTTACACCAGCTCTCTGCTTGTTTGATGTGGTTTATTTCACCTGATATGTCTCTGGTGGCCCTAGCTTTGGGTGTACCACCTAGTAGCATTAGATGGCCTTATGGAGAGAGTCTAGAATACTGTATTTTAGTGGCCTTCATATACTTTGTTGCTGCAGCATTTAGAAGTTTGAACGGTATGTAGATATATTTATTTTTGCTACTCTGTTGAGCAAATAATATTCTTTCTGCTTCAGTTTAATTCAGAACTATCAGGGGGTAATTGCATTTCTAGTACAGGACTTATATTCAGTTTGCTGATCTTTTATAACTTCTCTCATTGCTTTCATTTTGTTTCTTAGAAATCACAGTGTTTAAATTGCAATTCATCCTTTCAGCATGAGTGTTCCGTACTGGGAAATAAATCTGCTGTTATCTGTTGAACTTTAGTCTTCCTCAAACTTTGAGATGCCCTTTTACATAGTTCATACTCCCTGATAGGCAGGAGTAGAGTCACTTGAAATAATTAGCCACAGATTACCACTGTAATCTGCTTATTACAGTGGTTCAAGTGGATGGTGTGTATCCTTGAGAGGTTTACTACACTACAGTTAACTGCACCTTGCTAGATAGCTCAGTGGCTTAGTTTATTAAAGGCATTTCAATGCTTATTTATGTATATAAATAATATAAATAATGACTTACGAAAGACTTAATTCTCTTGAGCAGCATAATGTAAGTACCCAACACAACAGAAGTACTGTATGTAACTTCTGCTTTGTTGCGTCCCTTCTGAATCTAATAGACCAATGTTTTAAATAAATCCCACCATTCCTTTCATTATGTCCTAGTTATAACAAAATATTTGTGTGTGTTTTTAAGCAAAAAATTAAGGCTGCAACCTGCAAGATGTCTACATTGCCATGTTTTTATAGGTGTGAGATGTGACCCACTGAAAAATATTACATTAGGTACTTGGGAAAAAATCTGCAATTCATTAAAATTTGATGGAAGTTAAAAATATGGTTTCTTGCATAACTCATTTGAATATGTTTGTCCAGGAAAGGGTCTCTGTGGATTCTGGAGCATCCTATAGAACTACACCAAGAATATATATGACACATGCTGTAATCCTAAACCAGTTTACCATGGAGTCAGATTTATTAGTGAGCATAATGGGACTGGGGGTGGGGGAATATACAGGATTGCTCTGAAAATGGCTTTAGGTTGCTTCCTA